CCCATTTCTTGTTTTTTTTTTCCCCAGTGTCTTTTATCTTGTGAGTAAAGTTTGAACAGTACGCAGAAAGTTAACTGCCTGGAGTCTTTTAAATATAAGTAACACGCACCCAGTAATAAGCTGTCGGTTGTTTTTTTGCTGCCTGCAAAGAAACATAAACACAGTGCTCATTTCTGGCAGGTTTTTACTGTCAGAGTTTCTCCTATTATATTTATCTTACAATTTGCCAGGGGGTGAAGTTATTAAGTTTTAGCAGCAGCCATCGATCAAGTTCACAAGTTAACACGATAAAGGCTCTGTGCCGCTCCGATCCGGGAAAATGATGATCCTCACTCGGTAATTAACTAAATGAGAAAGTTAAATCTTACTTGAGAGCTGGGAGAGATGAAAGAGAGGTGTTTGTCAGTTTCTCAGTGGAAATTAGAAGCAGTTTTCTGCAATTCCCTAAGCTGCTGCTCTGTCATATTTTACATAAGCACTGGGAAAACGTCTTGTAATTAGTGCTGTCATGGAGGATTTTTTTTGCTGAAGGATGTTGGAATAATTCATTAGATTATCAAGAAAGGCTTGTGTCCTGAAATGATTAGCACAGTGAAATTTAAACCATTAACGATAACAAGTTTAGAGCTTGCTGCAGTGCAGAGGCACCCGGGGTATGTCTGTGCCTATTTCAATCATTTCTTATAATTAAACATTATGTCCTCTTTTTTCCTCCCCTTCACTAAGACCCATCCAAAATTGCTGTTAAGGTGGCTCTGTCTAGATCAGTCTTAACCACGACTGGTGATACAAGCTGGAGGTGAAATGCTGTTGCTGCAGATAAGCAATAGAAGCCATTTCTCTGTGTCAGAGTCTATAGTCCCAGTGAGTCCAGGAAGGAGGGGAGAAGCCCAGTATGACCTGTGGGTACTGGAACATCAAAGGGAAGTCCCTTCTTCTTGTATAGAGAGAAACTGAGAAATTTGCAGTGGTAGTCTAAGCTCTCAGTCTTTTCAGAGCTCCAGCATGAAGATGTCTTGAAGGTTCAGAAGGTCCCAAACCTTGCTGAGATCATTTAAGCTACCCCTTGTTCTAGAACACAGCTTCTCTTCAACTTTGAGAGATGTCTTCTTAGACATAAGAAACGTATGATCTGAATTCATCCACCCTGTGGAAAGTGCCTTAACAAAGTCCTCTGCGATGATTAGAGGACCTGGTATTGATTTTTAAGAATATATAATAGTTGTGACTGCTCATATGGGTGGGGAAATACTATACCTGGACTAGAATCAGCGAACTGTGCTTATGTTTGTTGTTTTTTTTTCCTGTGCTTTAGGGGGCTACTTGGTCCCCTGGACTGAACCACAACAAAAGTAACCTTGGTTGTCATATATGGGTTACAGCTGTGATATACTGTGGCTGTTTTGTTTTATGTGTAGAGCAGTAGATTTATCCAGGCTTTATTTATCTGTGTTGAAATATTGCACCATCCTATAGTTCCAAGCCATTATTTAGATTAAAGTCCTCTCATATATTAGTCCTCTTCTACTTCACTGGGCATACAAATGTGCTCTGTGTTAAATGTAGCCATTTGGAGAAATGGTCTTGTAATTATGGGCTGCAGTGGAGCATAGAACGTAGATCCCTGAGCTAGTACCAACCTGAGGCACTCAATCCCCTGGGTTTCCTGGCACAGTGTACTAGCTCTGGCACACTGTGGTACGAGGACACCTCTAATGTTCTTGCAGTTTGCCTAGAGCCAGCTGGGACACCACAAAGCCTCACAGAGGTTTGTGAAAAGCGAATCAGAAAAGCTTTATCTGTTCTGAGCTGCTCATTTGCTCTGGCATACCCAGACTTCCTCCCAGGTGATGGACAGCCAGTGCTTATTCTTTGTGGATTTTGGAAGCATGTAGGACAGTTCTTTCTTTTTGAAGTGAGGTCTGGTTATTGTACTAGGAGAGGGAAGAGGCCATAGACAGTGATGTGTTCCCGGAGATAGTTGCTGTTATTGTTTTGAGGTCGTTTGTTGTGAACTTGAGGCAGTTGATCAGAATGGTTGAGTGATCAGGAAGCCAAATTGATCCTCTTACTGATAGTAACCACCCTCCCCCCAACGCTTTAATAATACAGATGCTTTATGTTGTTGCTTTGTTGTTGCTTTTTAATAACGGGCCTTTTTCACTGAACCCCCAGTGGATTTTCAGGAATTGCCAAATTGAAATTCTGGAATTCTGTTCTAAACTGTAGCAGCAGGTGGTCTTCAGGGGCATGTGAGCACATACGGCGATGGAGTGATTTGGGAGCCCTGTGAGTTCATCTGTCTGTGCTCCACAGAACTGGTGTGTTCGCGGCTTGCCCTATCCTGGTTCCCTGCCTGCATAGACCACAGGACCTGACCACAGGACTGGCGGGGCTACCGCTGGGCTTGTCCTTGCTCCTTTTAATGGGAAACCAGAGCAGGCAAAGGTGCAAACCAGGTCTCAAGTTAACATTGTCAGAATGTGGATGAAGTATGTGCATTAACCTAAAAGTTCCCCTGTCCACTAATTTGAACATAAACGCTATAACACGTATAGTGCTTTTCTTAGCAGAACCACTAAATAAATCTGGAGTTTGACTTCAAAAGCTGTGACAAGTGCTGGTCAATGGACTCTTCAATTTATTCATTATTCCTGCCCAAGAGACCTGTATTCAGTTGCGATCCAGGCAGAACAGATTTTGTCCCATCTAAGCCTTCTGTGCACACATAAGCCATTACTTGTTTTTACTTCTGTTTGATACCCTAAAGTGATGTTTTAGAGGAAACTGGGGAGCTGAAGGCTGCTGGGAAAAGGGTGCTCAGGAGGCAAGGAAAGGCCAAAACATGGTGCCAATGTGTGAAAGAAGTTGTCCCTTTTGTGGTCTTTGCATGTCAGCTGTCTACTCCACTCCAGCTCAGCATTATCAGTCAGGCTTTACAGTCTCTCAAATTAAAAGGCAGAGGTATAGGTTTTCAAAAAATGCTTTGTAGTGACAGCCTGTAGTGAGATGCACAGCAAGCAAAATGAGAAATGAAATGAGATCAAGCTTGTAGAATACATCTCTCCACTGTCTTAATCCAGCATTTTTGCAGGGTTGTCTGTTTTGCAGGCAGCTTCACTGCAGCAAAATGACTGGAATCCCTTATGACCAATGTTCAGTGTAGTCCATTGGTAATCATTTTTTGCCAGGCTGTTGCCTACTGTGGACTTTGCTAGGAAAAGTTCAGCCTTTCACACATAGGGCTTCATGCTGAAGTCCCTCTAGAGATTTCTCTCTATAAAAAGTTTGCCCAAGAGAGCCTTTCTTTCCTGCTACCCAGTAGTGTCTCTGTGACTTGCAGTCAGTGCTGTCCATGTGACGATCAGAGGAAAGTGTAGCTCAATCATGGCCCTTGACTTGCATGATCTTACTGAACCCACACAGAAATTCACAGGGAGGAGCAGGGATAAAAGTAAAGCTGAAAACATTTGAGCTACAGAATTGAGCAGGGATGGTGTGATCTCCGTGTTCTATGTTCTCAAAGAAACTTCAGTAAAACCATAATTCCGAAATAGAAGAAACTGCTTGTTAAAAATTGCAGCTAATTGTTGCCTTTTTTACCAGAGGAAAATTTCCAGCCTCTGAAAATGCTGAAAAGAGTATTTAGATGGATTTTCTCTAGAAAATGAAATGTGCATTGTGATTAGTTGAGTAGATTTTCAAATTATGAGGTTTTTGACATTCCAAGCCAAGGATTGCTGTCAGGGTTGTGGGCTGTTCAAATGTAGGAATTATTTATCCCTGAGAAATGAGAAATTCCTGCATTCCAACCACAGTTTTGGTAACTAGATTTTGTGGTCTCTAAATAACCTGCTGTTTTGGCACTTGCTGAAAACCAGGCATTTTTGTTGTTTTTTATTTTCTGTAAAATCAGTTAATCCATGCATTCTTTCTACGTCATTAGATAGACTTGCAGAGACATTTAGGTACTTGTTTTTTCCCTAAAAGTTACTGGAAGTCTCCTGGCGAGGTTTATGACTGGAATTACCATCGTAGAACAGATATGTTTTGTATATTCTAATATCTGTAATTTGGTTTTAATTATTTGATAATTAATAGAGAAGCTCTAAATGTATTTTGTAAATAAAACCCATGTAATAATATTGACTGTTACTATAGTGCTGTCTGCTCTTAAACCACTGCAATGAAAGAGACAAAATCACACATTTTCAGCATTTAATACAAACTGTTTGACGAGTACGGGGAAAAGTGATTTCCCAGCAAACAGTTAATCTTACTTGGACAAAGGATACCCTTGCAATGCAAAATGTGCACTTTTCTTCCAGTTAAATTGTTTAGAAAGCAGAAATTATATCTTGCTATTGAGTAGTAAATTGAAATGTCAGTGTTTTGTTTTGTCCCTGAAAATCTTCTTTGAGCCGAGTCCTTCTGACAAGATATTAACAGTGCTCAGAAAGTTGAAAATCTTCTGTTCTGTGAAAGAAGTATGTACCAAATACCAGGGTGGGGTTTAGCTGGCTTTGCTCTCAAGGTATAATTTTATACCCAAAAGAAATACTTTTTCTCTTTTTTTTTTTCACCCATTTCATGCATTCCCTATGAATTTTAGCAGCAGTCTGTTCTTTAGGAAAAAAAAGAATACAAATGCAGTCTTCTGTTGGTGCATTGAAGTAACTGGTAATTGTAGATTAGAAATCCAAATGCACTTTACTGTCTTCACAATGTAAATAAAATTGTGTTTATGTTAAATTGACACTCAAGGTTTCCCATCTAGCCAGAATCCCTTGGGTGCAGCCCGTGCATTGTCCTGGAGGGGTTACAGCTCATAGTGGCTGCACTTCGACTGACAGCACCAAATGGGATATGTGGTCTTAGCCAACTTCATGCATCAGAGTGCTTTTTTCCTTCTATTTTCTTCCCCGTAAAGAAATTAGAAAACCGCTTGAGCTGCTTTTCATATGTGTGATTTGAGTTGTTTCTCTCCTTCCTGTTTACAGACAAAACTTGCCAATGGCACTTCCAGTATGATCGTGCCCAAGCAAAGAAAACTGTCTGCAAGCTATGAGAAGGAGAAGGAACTCTGTGTCAAGTATTTTGAACAGTGGTCCGAGTCTGACCAAGTGGAGTTTGTGGAGCACCTCATCTCCCAGATGTGTCACTACCAGCATGGACATATAAACTCATACCTCAAACCCATGCTACAGCGGGACTTCATCACTGCACTGCCAGGTATTTCTGCAGGCAGAGGGAGCTTGCTCCTCCATCTTCTCTTTCACAGAACTGGTCCATTCTGGCCTACCCTGCTGAAGAGGTCTGTTTAGGGTCAGTTTGCAAAATAGGAGATAGCTTTAGGATGAAAAGCTATCAATAATTTTTTATTGATATTAAAATATTATTAATAATATTTTATTTTGTATTCCTACCATCTTAAAAGGCGTGATCTAACACCACCATGGTTTGGCTGGGAGTAAATGATAGGTCATACATTTATTTTAAGGATAGTCATTGAAGCCATAGGGCAGGTAGTTGTACTCATTCTCACAACAATGCATGAATAACAACATTTGTTTTAAATTAAAACTGCCATTCTTTCTTAGCTGAGGTTTTCCCTTTTGTTGCTTAGATTTTTGTCTCTTGTAAAATACCTTCTTGAAGCCATCACCTTGATTATGTGTTTATTGCTAATAGAGAATGGAAGGCATAAGATTAAAGGATGGAAATGTTCTATTTTTTGTACTTTTGTAGTGCTTTCCTTTAAGAATAGTATTCCACATGTTTTCAGATGTGGCATTGGGTGTAACTCACAGAATGCAAACATAAAGCAGTGTATGTGCAGTTTTGCATTGGCCGTGTCTGATAGCTGGGAAGACTGGGACAGTGGGAGACAAAATGCATAGAGCAATAAAGTTTCAGAACCAGACAGAAGTTCCTGGTTCTTTGGTCTTTTTTTTTTTTTTCCAGACCGTTATATTGTACCTCTGTTAGATGGGTAATTAATAGGTTAGCATTAGTTTGAAATGGACCTGAGCAAAAAGTGCTATAGGTTCCCTTAGTAGCTAGCTGAGAAGGAGTTTCTTGCCAAAAGCTTGTTCTGTGAATATATTTGGAAAACTGCTTAATTTCAACAATTTGTTCAGTCCAGTTATTTGATCATTCTTCATAAGGGATTTTTCAACAGTAAGTTCTAGGGTTAAAGGATGGAAAAAAGCATGTTTAGCTGTGAATTGGTACAAAGCATAAAGGCACTGCAGGAGTTTTGCTGTGAGGTTAAATACATAGACTCAGTGGGTTTTTAAGCTCATTGTGCCCAGTAATCAAATGGCTGTTCTGGCATTAAAAAAAAATCTTAGTTATGCTAAGTATCTGCTTTATGTTAGTTTTTAGTAGTCCAATGGCAATAATCTTATGTACTTAGAGCAGCATTATAACTTGTGGAGTTGTTCTGTTTCAGAAAAATAGAGAGTATTTTGAAAGTGCAGTGATTTCCCCACATTTAAAGTGCAAGCATGCATATAGTTACACAGTTTTTCCAGGTCTTTCTTCACGAAACTCCATCAAAACAAGCCAACACATTAATTTGCGCTTGCTTAATTTGATCCTACAGGCCTTGTTCTGAAAAATATAGGTAAATGTTGTAAATATTTTCAAAGGTATTCAGAATTTCTGTGTTTGTAGCCATACTGTATTTGTTAGTAGTGTGTTCACACTTACCCAGGAAGCAGCTAATTTTACTATCTCAGAATGCAGAACAGACAGGAATCAGGCAGCTAATATGTGAGTATTTGAATAGCTGTGGGAACTGTGTGCTTAAATAATGCATGTGCATCAATTTACATATTTGAAAGTGCTAATGTCCTAGTGAATATAGCTCTAAGGGAGAAAATTAATGGGAAGGAGTTACACTGGTGCAGACTCTGCAGTCTGTGCAGGATGTCCTGAGTACAGGCAGGTTTCTAATGAGGGGAATGGGAAAGGGAAAGATAAGAAATGGCCTAAGAAAGAGGGATGAACCTAAAATTTTAAGTGAAGTGACATAATAAAAAAACCTAGTCTCCTTAAGTATTTTTTTTTAGCTTTCTGAAATTCTCAAGCATTCAGTATTCTGGTTTCATTTTTATTCCTTCATTCTCTTTCCTGCTCTCCCCCTTGAGTGAATAAAACAATAAAGCTACTTCAAAATCATGAGGCATCTTATCTCTGTCCTCCTAGCACTGTCCCAAAGAATGACCAGAATTAAAGGTAGTTTTAGATCATGAGCACATTTTACTAATACAAAATAAAATTGACTCAGATTATCTTCCCAGTACTTTGAACAGAATTAAGGTAGTTTGAAAAATACAGCTTAACTGCGGATTTAACAAACTTTGTTCCATTTATGAAAAATAAGGTCTCTGCTTAGCATTTCCAAGCTGTTTAACATTTTTTATGAGGAAAGTAATTTTTATAAGGCTTTCATGTGTGAAATAACTGAAACATCCTTGTTGGTATGGAGGACGGAAGGGCTAATTGTGTTTCACGTTGATTTAGCAAAAACTTCTGTGAGCAGAGATTTCCCTTTTTTAAGGAAGCAGTGCTTTGTTAGATGTACTTCTCAGTGAGTTGTGCTCTTCCTCAGAAACAAAATAGTAAAATTGAGTTTGCTGACAGACCGAGGTAGCTCTGCTCATCCATTTATACATGTGAGGAGGAGAGGCCAAAACATTAGTTTTCGTTCTCTGCAAAGGGTCTTGCATCAGTGGCAAGGGATTATTTATGGTCATGAAAGTAGTTACCACACCTCATTGCAGTAAGATCTAAAGTGCAACTACTTGATGATCCAGGAAAGGCAGGTGGGTCAGAGGCAGACTTATGGGTGAAGATCACTGTGTAGAGTTCCAGCAGTGTAGCCCTGCTTCCTAAAGCCACAGATTGGTCCCTGAATAAAACAGTTCCTTGCTGTGATGTTGCTGACATAAAGCCATGTTGCTGACATAAAGCGACCAGTATGCATACTACACACACAGGCATTTGTGAGTGCCCTGTTGCATCTATAAATGTCTGTGGGCCCACTGGAAGCAACATAGACTGGGGGAACAAATATGCCATTTGCACCCAGTGGAGAGAACTCAGGGCTGCAGGTGTCAGAGTGGAGAAGCTGGGGGGACACAATATCCATGGGTGCCCTTCCAAATTGTGGAATTCCTGAAAATTCCAGTTCACATTCACTAAAACTTTGTATCTCTCTTTCCACAGATTACTGTAGAGCCAATCTAAATTTACAAAGACTTTTCCTTTTTTTAAAGAGTTTTATATAGTGGCTGTATATATCTTTTCAGATTAAATGCATAATAAAGGCTGCTGATGCTTTTATTTTGCAGGTTGACATCTAATTTTGCATCTATAAAGATAAGAAATGTCAGACCTCTTTCTGCACTCTGTGGTTGTGCATGGTATCATTCACGTGCTTTTTCTCCTCATGAATGGAAGCATAAAACGCTGGGCAGAATGTCTCATCCAAAGTGTATTATAAATTTAGGATGTTTGAGAGGAGCAAGAGGAGGCATGCTGAATTTTCTGATTTTCATGCACTGGAAGATGATTTTGAGATCTTCCAGTTACCTTCAACAAAGGTTGGGTCTTTTGTGTTTCATAAACTCTAATCAGAATCAGCTGATTGCACCCAATTTGGGTTTGCAGAAGTACGGCCATATGACTTTAAAAATGCACTTGCTTTTTTTTCTTTCCATGTCAAAGCAGGGCCTGGTCTTTGAGGCTGTTGTTCTAAAAACAAGAAAAGACTTCTTTAACTCTGTCCTAAATATGAATCAGAGGGAAGATGCATGTAATGCAAATCTGCCATGCTTCGTTTTTGGTTGGTCTGGACATTATGCCTGAGGGATGATGAGGTCTAAGCTACAACTTTTACAAAGCCTCTGAAATTTGACCTGTGAAGCGAGGTCATCTCTTGATGATGTGTGTCACTCGTGACTTAAACAGGCTCCAAGAGAAGCTGTGTTTATGCAGCATTTCATTTAAAAGCCATATTATTTTTCTGAAGTCTTGGTAGTGATTAAATTTGAGTGGATAAGAGCACATTTTTACTGGATGCATCCATCCAGTTAAGAAAAACAGGATAACCTTTCCTGTCCCCCAGCTTCACAGGCATTACATTGGGCTGGTTGGTGCTAACCGGGCAATTGCTTTACATTTCACTCCAGCCATGTTGAAACAAAGCCAGTCCTGGAATTCACACCAGAAAATATTTGAAAATTATACCATTTTGGTGAATATTTTCCCTTCACCCACTAAAGCAAATGAAACTGACAAACCTGCTTCACTTTCTCCTTACACAGCCTCTCCTTCTCTCTCGACTTCCCTGTGCATCTGCATATCTCTCCCTCCCCCATGTCTAAAGGTACCACTACCCTTCAGGGCACACATTGGGAATATATATTTTTTTCTTCATTACGTTTAAAAGCTACTGCTTTAGCAAAAACAGCTTTTGAGCCGCTGCAACATGAGAACAGCTGTAGCAGTGAGATGAGAAATGGTCCTAATATAGAGAGATTTTGGGGGCTGCGTCGCTGAGTTGGAAATGCCATCCATAGAATATCCCCCTAGTGCTAAAACCCATTGAAATAGATTGGAATGACTTCTTGGATTCTTTATTATTTTTAATGACTTGTTGTGTTATATCCAAAGGAAGTTGGAGAACACTGTTCACTGCTGAACTTAGCTGCAAATGCTCTTGTGTGCATTTAGTCCAGCTCCACATGCAGAAGAGGAGATGGAAAGAGAGGGTGTCTTTGTACTAGCAAGGGGGGTGGTTTTAAACTCCATGTCTCCCCAGCAAATAATATTCTTCTTTTTTTTTTTTTTTTCTTCCTCAGCTCGGGGATTGGATCACATTGCTGAAAACATTCTGTCATACCTGGATGCCAAATCGTTGTGTGCTGCTGAGCTGGTGTGCAAAGAGTGGTACCGGGTGACGTCGGATGGGATGCTGTGGAAGAAGCTCATTGAGAGAATGGTCCGGACAGACTCCCTATGGAGGGGCTTGTCAGAGAGGAGAGGATGGTGAGAAAACTTCATCTTCACCTCCTTTGTCCCCATTCAGGACAGTAGGTGCTGTGTTTCAAAACATGTTGGAAGAGAGTTATTTAGCATCCTGAAACATCATATTGGTTCCAAACCTGACAGTTACTTAAATAAAAATTTGGGAGTTAGGGCATCATTTGGCTATGCAGGCAGCGTGGGGGCTTTTTCCTCACTTTCCTCATCTGATCATGTCCTTCTCCCACTGTGACAAGTGTGATATACAGACTGAGGTTTTTACATCCAGCTGTCATTTGGTTCAAATTAAGAAGCTGTGTACACCCCAGGGGAACACTAAACTGGTCAGCAGTTCAGAGCAGAAGAGCTTTTTTAGGGGTGGCAGTGGTGCAGCATGTGCTATGAATTAGTTGTTTCCTGATAGGTCTGTTTGTTTTCCTCAGCAGATTTTCACTATTAGATATCTGTTTAATTTTCAAACTGGAAGCTGAGGGTAGGTACCATGGAGAATAGGGGACTTTAGAAATGCAGATAGATTAGTTAATAATCATCTGAAATAGCCTTACTACAATGTGGGTCTCACTCAAGTTTGAAGCTGCTCTGTTAACATTTCATTAGAACTTTCCCTCTCAGGGGTACGTCCTTTAATACATAATTTTCTTTTCCAAGGGTGTCCCTAGGATGTTGGCAGAAAGGAAGCTGGGTATGAATATTTCATAAACAAGATAAAAGTGACAGCTCAGGCATTTTGATTGCTATTAAAAAGAAAAAGATACAGAGTTGCAAACAAAAGGCTCCTTTTTTATGGTTAATTTTGTTATACTGTTTGTCTCAGGCAATAAAGGCAAGTAAATCAGGATTATGAAACATCCTTTAAAAATAAATACTATTTTGATCTGCTTCCAATAGTGTAACGTTTAAAAAGAGTGTAAAATGAACACAAGCATGGCAGTGGTAACTTCTGCATTCCTTTTAGTACCTTGTTCTCTCCAGGACTTCTGTTTTTCCTCTGTGTTGTTGAGGTCACACTAAGTTTGAAGAGGACCTTGAGAGGTTCTTTAGTTTCTCCTGTTTCCCAAAGGCAGAGCCAGGTTTCTCCTAAGTCATCCCAGATATTTGTCTAACTTGTTCTTAAGAACCTTCACTGACGGAGGTTCCCCAAGCCTTGCTGGGGCAAGGAATTCCACTGTTTCACTGAATTTGGTGTTAGAAAGGTTTTCCGTAAATCTAGGCTGTATTCTTAGCTACAGTTTGGCATATTGTATTTAGCCTGTGCAAACAGGACAGTTTCTCATTTTCCTTTTGGCAGTAATCGTTTCCATGTTGGAAGATGATCATGTTTCCTAGATTGTGGATGCACTGACCAGCCGTAACCCTGTCTTGCCTCGTCCTCTTGTCATTCTTGGTTTTCTCGGTTCAGACCCTCCCCAGTTACTCTGCTCGTTGGTGGATGGTGTCTTCTGCCAAAGTATCACCAGAGTTTGATGGTGTGGGAAGCATTGCTTTGCATGTCTTACGGAGGACATTCCATTTTATGCTTTCCAGTGGAACATGTGTTTTTTATTTTTTAACAGTGAAATACCACTGTTATAAACTCAGTTACCCTTTCTGTGGCAGTTCTACTTAGCCATTATTCCTCATCTTGCATGCTTATGTTGTTCCTCGGTGGTGAACTTGGCGCTTGTCCTGATTGAATTAGATTCTATTTATTGTTTGGTATATCTCCATTTCGTCAGGAGCATTATGAAATCAATCTTGTCCTCCAAAGTGCTTGTGGCTTCTCCCAGCTTTAATATCATTGGCCAGGTAATAAATGCACTCCCTCTTCTATACTTTGTCTTTAATGAAAATGTTCAGTAATGGCACATCTAGAACAGACTCCATGCAAGGTCCCAGTTGCCATCCTGTTAACAGTGCACATTCAGTAAACTGTGCTTTCCAGCCATTTGTGTGTCCACCTTTGAGCTTCTCCAAAGATCATTCTTCTCTTGCTAAGTCATGAGAATAGCCTATGAGAAGAAATTAGGTCAGGTCACAATTTGACATGGTGTATTCTGGATTGATCAGTGTTACATGTTGCTTGTCACCTGTCATCTGATTGACAGTGTGTTCTAGAGCTGCTAAGATATCAAAGTTGAGTTGGATGGTCCCTCAAAATTTTAAAAATAACATTAGCAAGAGCTACCAGTACAGACATACGTTTCTAAAAGGCAGTTGCACAATTCTCCTTCTCATCTCAGAGGACAGTCACACCCTATTACTGCTCCTCTTCTTCAGGTTTACACTGTGTCCTGGAGGTTGCTTTCACAGAACAGGAGCAAGCTGTGCTCTGTCTTTCAGATTGCCCTATGATAACCTCTAGAAGATGTAACTCCAAGCATGGTGTGTGTTCAAGAGAAGCAGAAAAGAAATATCCAGTATAATTGCATCTCTGTCACATAGAGCTTTATAGCTTGTAATCAGTGCTAACACTGTGCATAGCACTAGGAGCTGACTAACTGGACAGTTCAGAATGATAGATGACTGGTCTTATTTGCTTACAGCTTCTCACTTTGCACACGGGCTGCCTGATTTCAGTATTTTCAGCTTGTGGTTTACAACAGAAACCCCTAATTCTGCAGCATGGTGCCCTTCACTGACAGCTTGTCAGGGGGGAGTAAGGGTTACACAGATTTAGAGAAATATAAAACAGAAGTCCAAAATCTGGGCATGATTGTGTCCATCTGAATACCTGATTGAATTGGCCAGTCATCAAAACCTGCGAACAGCAGTTCCTTTTATCCCAGACCCATAGTGCAATGGCCGCTGGGATGCCATGGAAATTCCAAGCAATCCTTTAGCTGTACTGTAAACAAATGACTCTACAAGTTGTAAGGCAGGGCTTATAGATGGCAACAAGACCTTGTATTAGATTAGCTAGTAAAGTTGGAAACAATAGACAGGTTTTCAGGCACATAAGCTTGTATACATATTGTTGTAGACCAAGTCAAGTCTTCCAGGATGTATCCTAGGTGTTTTGTGTATCTCCAAAGCATTTTTTGTCTCCCTGGACCAATAAGTTCCAGACTGGATGACAGTAAATAGGCAACCATCTAATTAGTGTTAGGCCCCATATGTGTGGCAGCTGGTCACTGTATTTGAAGACTCAGATGACTACTCTGTCCAAAGTGGAAAGCACCATTCTCTCAAGCCATACTTAAGATACTTTATGTAAAGAATTATTAAAAGTTCTTTTCTTGAGCATTTGTGTTTTAATTTGTTCAGTCCTATAGTTTGCAACTGCTTTATAACAGAAAATATGTAGTTTATTGTTGTGATTTCCCCAGTTCAAGTACGTCAAGGCAGCTGATGTACAGTGTCTCAAATGAGTTTTGAGGTCTGCTGTATGGAAAGGACAAGAAAGAAATGCGCAAGGAAGTACTGAACAATTAATTATGCCATAATGGAGTAAGGGAGGGAGAAGTGTAGAGCTGGCCCAGTGTAAACTCTGTGCCTCTGATGCCAGGATTACACTCAGAGGCATTTGTGCCTCTCTCCATTTTGTGAGGCATGTTGCCAGGCAGAACAGCAGTTAGTACGCCCATGGTGGGGTTTACTAGCTTCCACACCGTGTTTGGTGGCTTCTTAACTTCAGGATGAGGAATTAAAGTTTTTTACACAGCAGGTAGTGATTGCCATTTACGGATTTTTTTTGGTAGCAAAAATCTAGCTTGGGATATGAGTATTCCAAATCAGTGTTGAAATGAGGGAAGCACTGCAGATGAAGTGTTGCTTACCAAAATGTAGTAGAGAAGCAGTAAAATGTCCATGTACCAAAACTGATACTGTTCCTGCTAATGCAGATAAAAGCTATAAATGCATGGTAAGTTTGAGGATTCCTTGGCTTCCTTCATGTTCTTTGTACACTTTATTTTAAAGGTGACCTCTGATATAGATATGTGTATTGCAGGCATGAGCTATTCTCACCTCCTATTGAGTTGAATGGGCTCATGTCCATAATAAGTATTTCCCTTCCCTGAGTGACTAGGCTCAGATTTTTCATGAGTATTTCAGTGTCAGAATGCAACATTGATATGTTGCAGGGCAAACAAACAATGAACCACCCCATCTGACTGAGTAAATTAAGTTTGAGTATCAGTCTGTCTGTGCTCTTAAACAGTGGCTACCCATTTGTAAATTGCCAGGAGGACCTTTCTCCAAAATACTGGAACATGATCTGTGTTCACTGGGGGATGTTCTTTTGTCTTCCAGGGGACAATATCTATTTAAAAATAAACCTCCTGATGGGACTGCACCACCCAACTCATTCTACAGAGCACTTTACCCCAAAATTATACAGGACATAGAGGTAAGAAACAGCTTCCAGATGTGGTGTGTTTGGTTGGATTTTTAATTTATTTTTAAATCTCACTGATTTATTCATGATGCAGAAATTCTGAGAACATGCCATTCTAATGAATCTGAATGAAATGAATATGAAATACCTCATCAAATGAGGTAATGAAATACCTCATCAAATATATGGTGTCTTTGTCTGGAGTTTGTAGATCTGGGATAGTTATATAAAGTCCCAGGCTTCAGTACTCCGTTATACAGGGGATGAGTTGGATTGTTGAGTGAGCTGTTTGCAGAGGGAGTTTCTACCCCTTGCAGGTCAGATGCCACAGCAGCACCATGCCATCTTGATTTTCTCTGTTCCACAGTACTTCGCTCCAGCTGATGCAGATGAGACCTGTTGAGATGTTACAGGGAGAAATTGAGCATGGTTGCCTTATATCTAGTGTGAGCAAAATGCCATGTTCTGGTACTTTCCTAATGGCAAGAGCATGCTCAGGTGCTGTTGTGACAAATTTGTACAAGTGCTTAGCTAGAGCTCAACTGAGACTTTCTTTTCAGTTGTTTAGCTGTTGAGTCACTGGGGGTTAAAGATTGGAGACAGAAAAAAGCTTTTAGGTCACTTCTCTCTCACCATTCCAGATAACACAGATGAGTTTAGCCGCAGTATGTTTTCTAGGCTTTTGTCCATTTAATTGGTTTTCTTATATGTGTTAGAAAGCAGTTTAGAAAGTAGTTATGTCATTATATGGGCCTGACTGCAGAAAAAAATGTAAAGAAAAGTGTCTACTGTCTTCTCAAACAAACAGAAAAAGAGGTGATAGTTCCATGCTTTATTTTACTCTCTTTCCTGTCTCTCAAGACAATAGAGTCAAACTGGCGTTGTGGAAGGCACAGTTTACAGAGGATCCACTGCCGAAGCGAGACAAGCAAAGGGGTTTATTGTTTACAGTATGATGATCAGAAGATAGTAAGTGGCCTACGAGACAATACTATCAAGGTGAGAATGCTCCAGAATGTAGTGCCTATACCATAAATAATAGTGTCCTAATTTCAGGACACCTGCCCAATCTCTTGTTAGTAAGCTATCCTTCTTCTTCCCTTACCTCATACGTACAGAGCATGTTATGCCTCTTTTGTCTGGCAAGAGAGACCCTGTTTTCTTACAGACAGACTTCCCTAGCAGAGTTTTTGCGCATCAGTAATTACAGCCTATGTAATTACTGTGCCTTGTACCTTGATGAGAAGGGTAAAACCAATAATCGTAGTAAAGACAGTAATATCAAAGATGTTAACATATTGCACCAAAGAGCCTTGTAAAAGATTCTGCAGATGTCACTAAAGATGTTCTATACTGAACTATGGATGATGTGTTGTAGTAAAAAACTAGACTAGTCAAACCAGTAAGTGCTGAAAGGTGAAAATCTTACTGAGCTGTCTGGTTTTGAATGTTTGCTATCTTAGATCTGGGATAAGAATACATTGGAATGCAAGCGAATTCTCACTGGACATACGGGTTCTGTCCTGTGTCTCCAGTACGATGAACGGGTGATCATTACTGGATCTTCAGACTCAACAGTCAGGTGTGTGCTCATAATTTGGAGTTCTCTGTTTACCTCTAAGGTTTTAGCCTTGCAAGCTGCTGAAATAATATTTTCTTAAATGTGTGCTCTTCAGTCAGTTCCATGAAGTAGTTCAGCATATGTGTTCACGAATGTACTGTGCCTTATTTATCAGATGTCCATGCAAATGGCTGTTAAGGAGAAATGAGAACCTAAGCAAAGGTCAGTCAAGGTCAAGATGAGTTAGGAAGGCTATCTGGCTTTTCACTAAGGTTTTGCATGTTTTGATGCTCCCTAAGAATGTTTTAACTTCTCCCAGAGAATAACTTTTTAAAAGTTGGTTGAAGTTTTCAAAGCAGGTTTGAAGGTTTAGTCATTCATAGTCAATTTTAACAAAAGATGTATGACTAGATCTCCTGTGACTCTTAATTAAATTTTGCATGATGTTTGTTTTTGTTCAGTCATTCTAACCTTGCTTTCCTTCCACTCTCCAACCAAAAGCTGGACACCTCAAGTCAGCACTTGTGGTGATGTGAAGTCCATTAGACATATTACAGAATCCCAGGGAGTCTAAGACCTGTAGTATAAATGCAAGCACATATGAGTTAATGAACTGCAATATGAACTTATATGTGGAAGAGCAGGTCTGTCTTCTCCATGTTGTTATATTATATATCCTCTTCTTGTCAGAGTACAAACAGTGCCCATGAAGTGAAGTTTCAGACAACAAAAGGCTGTGTCAGTGGCCTTTTCTGAAGCTATTAGCTGAAAGCTCTTTATGGTTATCACTGTGCATGTGTGTAAACTACCACTGTTAAGCTAATAAAGATTACATTTAGTTCCTGACGTGTGATGCATGTGGTCTTTGTCGTGCTGCTGGATTTTGGGGTCCTGTCATTGGCAGGAATCAAGAATTTCAGCAATTCTGCCTGCCTGGAGACGGTGTGGGAACTGCATTGTACTGAGCAGATCACAACGGAGAGGCTGATTTCTGTAACAAGCACTATCATCTTCCATGTCAGGCCAGGCAGGCCAAATTGCAGCCTGGCTACTTGCCCAGAAATACTTTTGTTTCCCACTGTATCTGTAAATGTTTGTGCAGAACCCAGAGGCACATAGGATGCATCACTTTTATCCTCGGGTCTCCTCAGGAAGAGGGGCTTCATTCAATAAACAGTACAGATGGGCTCTTAATGCTTCTGAGATTTCAGGGATGCACTTATCCAAAGAAGTCAGTAGGTCTCCAGCTCCTGTCAGTTTGGCAACCCTGTCTGCAAACTGCTCGTATGTTAACAGCTCAGGTCTTTATTCTGTCAGGTTTTCTTCTTCGCATTTTGTAATTGGAATGTACTATTCATTCTCATTTATAGGCTGTAAGTTGATGCACTTCAGCCGTCATAAGTTATAAAATAAGACATTAGAAGTCTTTCTCACATCTTAGATTTTCTTACTGCTTGCCTTATTGGCGATGTCTGATGTGCCTGATGATACAGCCATTTTCTGCTCTCACATAGTATATGTGGGATACAGGTATGATAGTGCCAAAAGAAATCCTTATGGAAGGTGAAAGAAGTTTGCCAACAGAATAGCCCAAAAGAAACATTTTTAAGACTTAATATCTTCATTTCAATTCCTAGAAGTTCTATATGAAGCCTTTTCCTAATTTTCATCTTAAATTATCTTTCTGCTGGAACAGTTGGTTCTAATAACATTAAGTTGACATAACTGCTCTGTCTTAATTTGAGTATTCAGCGCATTCCTGGAATGTAGCTGTGTAGCAGATGCACTGCAGGGTAAATGCAGTTCATGGTACAACTTGGGGCAGTTACTTACATTTGTTTGAAAGGCATTATCTTCTGCTTCTCTATAAATTTTGCCTTGAGTTGATAGTCCTGTGAAAGAGGTCAAAAATTAAACCTGTCACTGAACTTGCTTCTCCACAGGTTATGACTAAGTACTCATTGACTGGAAATGGAGTGTGTTGTATGTAGGCTTATACAGCCAGGAAACATCAGTCTTTAAGGCCATCAATCTCATACCTTTCCTCAACACTAAATTCCCTTAATTAAAGAAAGCTTCTTTCCTGGCTGGTTTATTTTTATGGTGTTAATTGCATTGCAGGGGTTTTGACTGCTGGACTGTCTCAGTGTATGCATAGTCAATAGGTTTATATAATACATCTTTTAATGAACTATTTAATAGATACAGATATAACTTGTGGTGTTATATTAGCTTCTCTAATATTGCTAGAGAGTCAATTACCTCTCTTTGTTCCTCTCTTGCTCTGCAGAAATCCACTGTACAGTTTTTTAACTCTCTTCTCTCTGGTTTGAAATTTGGACCTGCAGGGTGTGGGATGTGAATGCAGGTGAGATGCTGAACACACTGATTCACCACTGCGAAGCAGTACTGCACCTCCGCTTCAATAACGGCATGATGGTGACATGTTCCAAAGACCGTTCCATTGCTGTGTGGGACATGGCTTCACCAACAGACATCACCCTAAGGAGGGTGCTAGTAGGGCACCGAGCAGCTGTCAACGTGGTGGACTTTGATGACAAGTACATTGTATCAGCATCAGGTGACAGAACTATAAAGGTGAGGTGTTTCAGAGGCTTCTTATTTGCAGCATTGGGGTATTTAATAACTGAGAACAGATGCCCAGAGATGGAAGATAGTCCTTGGCAGTTAGTGCACAGATCTTCCATTAGAAGTAGTATTCTTCCTGCTGCTTGTTTCCACTTGTCCCTTCTGTGTTGAGCTTGCACAACTTGTTTACAGCACTGGATGGCAAATCAGACCTAGTTACAGATGCAGTTGAAAAAGGACTTTTTTTTTCTGTGTTCTTTTTCAACTTGACCACTTCCATGATCTGTTTCAGCATGTCACTCGAACAGTTGTCAGAGGGCAGCATGGGGGCAAAAGTAAAGGTGAGTGGATAGGAGTCTCTTTAATGTTACTGCTGTGATCCAAATCTCCAGCCTTAAAACTGAGGAAAATCGAGATCCTGTGTAGACTAAATCATAGCCCAAGAATGCTAAAGCCTGATTTTGGAAGCTAATTCTTACATGATGTGGCAAAAATCTTCTGTGTACAGTGACCCAAGATGCTAACAGTTGCAGAATATAATCAAAAGTCACTGGAGCGGTAATCTTCCCACTCTTAATGATAGCATCTTCAATTAAGAGCATTCTGGATGCATCTGTATATCATACAGATACCAGCTTTTGTTAGTCTCTTCCTAATAACTTTGTCTCTGTGTGGTTCCCTCCCCCCTTCCTGTCACAGGTATGGAACACTAGTACCTGCGAATTTGTGCGCACCTTAAATGGCCACAAACGAGGCATTGCATGTCTGCAGTACAGAGACAGGCTAGTAGTGAGCGGCTCTTCAGATAATACTATCAGGTGAGAGACACACTCCCCATTGCAGAGTTCTGTGCCAGCACGTTGCCTCTGATTCCCTGGGATGTGCAGAGGTTAGGCAACTGAAGTGCTCTGTACCCTTGTCGTCTTTGAAAAATGCTTTCTTTGCTGTAGAACATTGGGAACTACTGGAAGGAGATATTAGAAGCCTGTTTACTGTGTTGTCTTTCATCCTCTGTATCTCAAGAGTCCCATACTAATCAACAAGTTGCATTGCTCTGACAATTCTGGTGTATGAAAGAGCTGGCAAGTACCACTTTCTGTGATGTCCTCTTGTGATATTTTAATTGGGCTATGTGTCTAGTTACAGGGGTCAGATTTGCAGTAAGAGGCATTTAATCCTCTGCAGAAATCCTCCTGGGCTCTCGCCAAACTCCTCTTGTGGTACTTGGCACCTGGTTAAGTTTGGAACAGCTGGTTTAGAGGCTGAAGTTCAGTTTACTGCCTTTTGCACTTCTCCAGCTGCCTTGGTTGCAGTCTGAGATTTAACTCCTTCTGGTATCATGAGTCAGGGTTTCTCTCTACATCTTCAGATGCTGGCAGAGGGACGTCTCACTAATCTCGGGGCATATGGAGCAAGCTTGAGTAGTAGTTGAAGTGACGTAAAGAAATGGCTCTGTTATGCAAGCAGGAGTAAGAGCAACCCCCCTTTTGTCTTTGTCATTGCTTTAAATAATTGTCTGCCATCTGATAAAACCTGAAAACTGGACAGTGTAAGCAGAAACCCTTCGCTTTGCATGTCATTAGTAAGTTCTCCTCAGTGAGAACAATTCATGCTGCTGTTTGTCTGTGGACTTTACTTACCTCTTCTGGCTTTGCATTCTGTAGAAAAATGGTTGTCCTTTGGTTGACATCACCAGGTCATTATACCAGATTTTAGTGTAGGGCTGTCTGAAAGCATGACCGAGAGAGCTGGAACTTCTGTCTCTAAATCAAGGGAAGAAGTATTACAGGCATCATGTAAGAGTAGCACCACTTACGCATGGTGAGAATTCCACCACTTCAAACAGAAAAAAAGCCCTCTGCAATTGTACTATGAAGCTTGGTCCCAGTGTTAGAGTAAGAAATAGTTAAATGTTACAGCAGCTAGGGAAGGATCTGAATTACGACTTGCAATGCTAATAAAAATAGATGTCAAGATAGTGATAACGCTAAAGAGGAATACAGTTACTTTTATGCTTACATTGGACAAAATCCCTAGTTGACAGATAAATTGTGCTAGAATTTCAGGAATGTTGGCAGTGAATCTTAATGGAAGTCATGTTTGGCCGCTGTGTGGGTAAGGCAGAAGACTTACCTGGTCACATTGTTTTCTTCCAGCCATTAGCAGGGGGCACAAGTCAGTGGAAGGGTGATGAAGAAAGGGCAGGTTACCAAGTCATCTTTGGGGGTGACTTTGTATGTTTGATTTTAATCCACTATAAAATGCCAGATGTTGTGTGTTGGCCTTTAATAGAGGCTGCCTCCTGATACAGAATTTGAAGTTTGATGTTCCTCAGTTTCAGGGAAACTTTTTCTGAAAGGTAACGGATTTCTAGTTTTGCAACTGAAAACACAATGTGAAGTGGCAGAGAAATCAGTATCTTCTGTAGAGAGATGTCGTGTGTAAAAATCGTTTAGGTTTTGTTGTAGGCCAGATATTTCACCAGTGTAAGAGGACACCGCATTGCTGTCCTTGTGGTGATTTCCATCTATTAGAAATTGGTTTATCGAGTTTAATCCAACCACTTCAGTATCTTAGTCTTCAGGGTCAAAGTTCTTAATTGCTACAGACAAATATGCTATAGAAAAAAAAAGACAAAAAAGATAATTTAGAACAAGAAAATAGACTCAGGCTACATCATCTTGGGTTAATTTTTAATTGAGTGGTTGATTTGCATGTGTGTGTTCAACCTCCAGTGTGTGCACACATGGGGTTCTGACACTCGACTGTTTAAACAACAGTCTCTCTAGGAGATGAGGATTCAGTCTCACCTGCGTTCTGTACATCTTGCAGCTCTGCCAGGTCTTCAGGTGAATTAAAGGCTTGCAGACTTCCTTCTACTTCCAGAAATTCCCCCAAAGCTATAGCAAGGAAGAGTGGTAGTGGTTTTGACTGTGCACACTTTGTAGTAAACTGTTTTAGTTAGTTCTTAAGCCTTTAGAGTGCTTCCTTTACTGTTTCATCCTTTGGCTATTTAAAGAAGTAGAAATTTGAGAAGGTTATCAAATCTGGAAGATGCCCTTGACACCAATTCTGTTAGGAGATTCTGCTCTTACATAGTAGTTACCTCTTTTGTACATGAAGGCTTGTTCCCCACATGGCTAGGGAAATCATCATCTCAGCACATTCAGATTCAGGTAAAACCTCAAACTGGGACCTTAAAATACAGGCCTGAATTAGTGTGATGCAGCCTCCCAGAGCTGCTGGCAATCTCAGGATTAATGGCAAGGAATGGAAACACATGGCACTAAAGTTCCTGGCACAAGATTGCTTTTCAGACCTTTCTGCACCAGTTCATTTCTGGCATTGTCCACCCTGTTTACAGTCCTTGGGAGACTTAATGCTCTCTGACCAGCCAGAGTGCCTTTGGCTGACCTTTGCCATGGAGTTGCTTGCTCTGACCTTGACTGGTGTGCTGGTTCCTATGTGAAAATTATTAGGATCTTCATCTTCATATTCCTGAAAGATCAACTTCACAAGCTGAAGAATCACCTGGTGCTCCTCATCGGCCTCAGTTGTGTGCATAGACAAATTGTTTATCAGTTCTATAGTAGTGGAAGAGTCTGTCCATTCCTCTGTTGTCCAAAGTGAGAGCAACTTGTCATGGCAGGACAGCTGCAGTCATTATCTGCCAACCTCAGGCACAAATCCACTGGATCTGGATTATTCTTTGAGGACCTCAGGAGTAAAATATGTGGGGACAGTGTTTCTGTTTCTTTCTGTCTCTCGGGACAAGTGACCTGAACCCTCAGCAGTTGTTCTGCTTTGAGATGTGTCACCTAGAGATTCCACCTGTATTTCTCACTACTGTGAAGTTCAAGTCAGTCTGAATGCTAATTGAATGAGCATTTAAGAACATTTGTGCCTGCTTTCTTTTCTGCTGTGTGTCAGGGAGATGCAGCAGATACAGCTATTAAGATTCCTGTATGAGCAGAGCACATTTCAGCTACAGGTGGACCACCTCTAGACAATGTGTGTCAAAGAATTTCAGTTCTTGTAGGAAAATAACCTTTCTTTATCCATGGTAACTGGAAGTCATGTCAAAAAGCTGACAGAAGCATGGAAAGCAAGTAGGCTAACTTCATAACTGTTTTAGGAACTACTTTTGTTTTCTTTCTTCCAGGCTGTGGGACATCGAGTGTGGGGCATGTTTACGAGTATTGGAAGGCCATGAAGAGTTGGTGAGATGCATACGCTTTGACAACAAGAGGATAGTCAGTGGGGCGTATGATGGGTGAGGCCATCAGTGCAGTTAATACCTTGCATCTTCTTGTCTCAGTGTCTCACATCCCACTTTTCTGTATCTTCCTTATAAATACTAGTCACCTTGTCTGTAAATCAGGACCATGTTACAAAGCATACCTTTATTCCTTCTTTTGCAATAAGTCAGTGTGTTTTGATGTGTGTGTCCAGTTCTTTACTTTGTAAGAATGTCCGATCGACACAGCCTGAAACCTCTTCTAGCTGAACCACTGCTAAGAACAATTTTTCCTATCTGTGGTTATATCTGCTGGACCATTTGCCATTACAGACTAGGTGTCTGCACTCCCACGTTTCTGTTAGTTACCGCCACCTGCTTTTTATGGGGTTTACTTTGTTGACAGTACATTTTTTTTTCTCCCATTAAGCTCTATAAGCTTTACAAAGGGGAAATGCAAGAACCAGTTCTCAAGAGCAGAAGGATTGCTGTAATTTTCCTTGAACTGCTGTATTAGCTAAGATGTACTAACAGTTTATTTTTTTTTTCTGTAAGCACTTGCTCTTTTCTCTCTAACAAAGACTATTGTCTATTTTTTCACTACTAGGAAAATTAAAGTATGGGATCTTGTGGCTGCTTTGGACCCCCGTGCTCCAGCAGGGACCCTCTGCTTGCGAACCCTTGTGGTAAGAGCTTTTGGCAGGGGTGTTGGAGGGAGCAGAAAAGTGTGCTTGATCAGGGCTATCTTGAGCCATGAAAACTCAAGTCAGCTTAGTTCAGTCTGCAGGATCTAGAAATTTCTATGGGTCTGGCTTTTTTGTGTGTCCATGTTTTGGTGTGGTTTTTTTTTAATGTTGGAAGCTGTAAAGCATTAGAAGTTGGAACCTGTGGAACTGTCACTCACTTTTTAACAGTTTTGCTCTGTGATTTGAAGTTATTAGCTAAATTAACTTCTGAGATTTGTCCTTCTTGAAATCTGTGTGCCAGTGGGTTTACTTTAACCTGTGCATACCTGATGCTGTAATAGTAATCTGTCTGATGCGTTGACATGAAATTTCTTAAAGTTTTACATTCCAAATTTGAGCAACAAGAGCAAAAATACCTTCGGAATCGCTTTTAACTGGCACTTGTATGTTTAAGGAAAAAGGCAGGTAAGGACTGGAACAGACAGTGAAATTGCCTCATTCTTTATTACCTCATCCTTAAACAGCAACTACCACTTTCATACTGTCCATCAGTATTTAGGGCAGGTCTGATGATGATGTGGTTAAAATGTCATTGTGTGAGTGTTAACAGCTTTCACAGTCGTGCTTAACAGTGGATCTGCACTGGTCTTATAATAATGTGAGAAAGTTGTGAGGAAAATGCCAGTACAGCCAAGGCTATGGGTTGGTTCCTGTAAGCATTCCTCCATCACAGTCACCCCAAAAGGCTTGCGCTATTGCAGAGCATAAAGGAAGATTTCACTCCAGTACCAAGTTATCTTTGAAAAAGAAGTACTAAACATATTTCTTTTTTAGCAAAGAAATGTTTGGGTCAGTATATATTGGACCTTTTCCTGCTGTGGTGTGCGACTGTAGTTTGTGCTCTAAACCAAGATCATACCGAGGCCATCTGATTCTCTAGAAGCGGGGTTACCTCTCACCAGCTGAGCTGTGCTAACTGACCTTCTGCACTCTCATCCACCGCCTGAATTGCTACTGTTGTTGTAGCTTTCACATTTGGTGCAGAGTGTGAGAGTTACTGTGACTCAGCTGACAGGCAGTAGAGCATTAAACCATGCTAACTCTTTTCCAATCGTGTATTTGAACCCTAAGCTGCAGAGTAAGAGTCAATGAGAGCCTCAGGTGCCTGCAGGAGCTATTCTGAAAAACCTGCTTGTTAGCTAAGTAGAACTGCAAATTGTTTCTGCTGAAATCCAGAAAAACCCTTTGTCATTAGCCACCCAGTCCCAAACTGTGGAACTACTCTGTAACCATAAGCACATATCCTGAGAGTCTAAGACTTCAGCTTGGTATTAGTAGTGTTCCTGCTCTAGCCTGAAACAAATGTGTGCCTAAGTAACCTGTAGACTTAATTTAACTGGTGTGATTTCCTCTGCATTTTCCAGCAGTGGACAGCCAAAGTGCCCCAGCTAATTATATTATAAATCAGATCCAGTGGGATGGAAACACTGTAGGAATCTCAACACACAGATACTCATAAATCCCTATTTGATAGCAATGGAGGGGGCCAGAAGAGATGGGGGGGTACAGAGGAAGCTGTTTTGGCACTTTTAGGAGTTTTATGACAACAGGGTGTCCTTATACCCACTTACCCATGGTTTGGTTTTGTGTTTTTTCTCTTCCCTCAGCCTCCAAAATTAAACCTGGCTGCACAATGAGCATCATGAGTCTCCCACTGCTCGTGTTCAATTTTCAAACAGTAGGAGGAAACTGCACAGATAACAAATGCTCGCTGCATGCCAGGTCCCTTCCAGTTTTGTCTTCTGTTAGCTGGAATGGTGGCCACATGAATTTGTCAGAAGCTTTTGAGGCACAGAATAAGCACATAGCTCAGCTTTCCTTACAAGCTAAAGAGTCCAGGTCCTTTTGGCCTCCACTTAGGGTGTGCATTGTGCTTACTGCTTCTGTAAAAGCAAAGGGCAGGTGTGTGGAACTTCTAGGGCAACATTACATAGCCTACAGTGACTGGGAGAAAAAAGGGAGCTCTGGAAACAGTTTTTGGAAGCACCTCTCTCTGTGGGCTGTCCCTCAGTGGACCTGACTGTCGTAGTGATATTTTTTAGCAAAAAACTTCTGTATTTCACTTCTACAACACAGACTCTGGAAAAACATTTATTTTTTGAATAGGTGGGAAGACAAGCGCATGAGGTGTTTTTAAGACAAATTCAAAGTATAGTTAAGAGATCAGAAAAGGTCCAAGGATTAGACCATTTTTTTAAATTTGTCTTAAAAATAGAATCTGAATATTGCGTGTGTGTATTTTCAGTCAATTTTAGAGATTAAGAGATTCACTTTAAGGCAGTTATTGTGCTTTGCAAACCAAGCTGTATTCTTGTAGTCCTGTACCATAGGACAGAGGCATTTAGTAGCTAAGACTAATCTTTTGCCTAAATATTTGAGAAAACTGCATTTTCAGTATTGAAGTATTTTAAGACATGTTTTTTTACTGACTCTAAGCCCATTACAATGTGTGAGCACTGAAGAGAATTTTGTATTAATGGACGAGATAGGGCTCACCCTAGTTGCATGGTTTCTGTTCCCTTCTGACCGAGGAAGAGGCCACTGTTCTTATAGCAGTGTAAGCACCAAGAAAACCAGGCAACACAAAAGGGAAAGTACAGTGGATTTGCTCTGTGATATCCAGGATCTTGCCGTTACCTCCTGTTAATTACAGTCTGAACCCTTGCCAAATCGTCGTGCCATTTCCACTCAGCCTCAGAGCAGAATGCAAACTGCCTGTAAAGTATGCCCTTTCTAGTTCATATTTTTAGAACTGCTTAAGAGGAATTATTACTGTGTCACCGGGCTTTACAACAGGCTTCTTAGTATCCTCCAGTATTAAACCCTTTCCTTTACAGCAGTGGCAGTGGTGCCAAATGCAAAGTTCACATCTCTCCCCCTGTAACCTACTGCATTTGGAAATCTGTGATTTTGGGAATGAGTTTCACCATGGAACAAGGAAGGCAGTGTTCCTGTCAGTCTTGCCAGACTGAATTGTGTGGTGAAGGGAGCTTGGTTTGTTCTGCACAGTACATGTCCAATGTTTAAGATTTAAGGAGTAATGGGTAATTGTAACTGTAAACTTCCTGTGAGCCAAGTACTCAGATACAGCAAATCCTTTTCACTGAAAGAGTACTTAATTTACACAACGTGATGCTGATGCACAGTGTGTCATGTGGGGTTTACTGAGAAATGCATGTAATGCTAGAATCCAAGGCCAGTTTCATCTTCCCTGATCCATCCCACGTGCCAGCAAATTTATAACATACTGTGTCTCCCACTTGCATTTAGGAGCATTCTGGAAGAGTCTTTCGGCTTCAATTTGATGAGTTCCAGATCGTCAGCAGCTCACATGATGACACCATCCTCATCTGGGATTTTCTGAATGACCCAGCTGCCCAAGCAGAATCCACTCGTTCCCCATCCAGAACATACACCTACATCTCAAGATAAATAACACTACACAGTACCTCACACTCGCACAGGTAACAGAGGCTCAAAGGTGGCACTGGATGTAGTGCAAGCATGCTGCTTGAATAACTAGCTGAGTCTATCAATATTTCTCATCTTGGTTGGACAGTAATTACAGTGTCCTGTAAAAGAACAGGAATGATTTTGAAACCTTAGAATAGGGACTTTATTTTAGGATTTGTGGCATGTGGCACCTGTGAGTTCGCCTGAAGAACCCCTCCTCCTTTGCCCATCATCATCAATAATTAAATCAGCTATCGCTGCTATCCAGAAGGAAGAAGGGTTTCTGCAGAGCGAGTAGAGCAGCTGCTGCCTAACAAGGGGATGCAGATGGCATGACCCTGGGCAGTTGTCGCCAGGCAGGAGGGTTTTGCTAAGAAGCATCAGCTTTATTCAATCCGTCTGAAGTGGTGACCATTCTTCTCACTCTGCAGCAAGCTGATTTAGGAGAACGGTTTGGCCTAGGGGAGGAGATACTGAGGCACAAGCCTAGGCAGATTTAATCGAGATGCATCAGTGTGCAAAATCATTTACTCATAGGGCCTACCCCTAGATCTCTCTAGCATAGCACGGCTGTTAAATTGTTCATATCAGAGCTGCTGGTTTGCTCATCGCCTTACCCTTTCGTCTTGGCCTGCACAATGTGGGGAGGACATAATGTTCCATATGTGTGGGTCAGTTTTAGAGTGGATTTGATGTATGTGAGTGGAGTGGGGTAGCATGATTGCCCACTATGGTGGGTACATGCACAGTTGCTGTTAATAGCTTAAGAAAAATGTCAGAAAAGTTGACAGGCTACTGCAAGGGGGTGTCCACAATGATGTTTTCCCTTGAAAATGCTCTGTCATGGGGCACATCCTGTATCATGTTTGATTGGTAAATGTACAGTGATGCTCCAGAGCTGCCAGATCAGCTGTCTTGATTTTCTCAAACACTCTGGTCAATCAGATGTTCTTTTAAATCATTAAAAGGTTTAGTGCGAATGGGCTTTGTTTGGTTTGTTCTGTTTTTCATTCCCAGGACTCATTTAAGCTGCAGTATTTAAATGCCAGGACAAAAGAACTATCCACGTAACCAATCCTTGCTGAAGAGAGAGGCTCTCAGACTTGTTTCTGGAACAAAGTTGGCGTGCAGTTGATCTCAGACAGGGTCTACTCAGCGTGGCTGACTGCTAAAGTGCTGCTATATCAGAAGATGTCTTTTATCTTTCATGAACACTTAACATTTTTAAACCTTCCCATCCCTTTCTTCCCCCGTCCTGCGCTTCCTATTCACTTCTCTTCCCTTTACCCTGTTTGGTTCCCCTCCAAATCCAGTCACAGATGTCCTATGAATATATTTAAGATGTTGCCAGAATGTGTTGCTTTGCTGTTAAGCAGAAGACTTATAGCCACAGTGCATCCTGCTGAGAAAGTCACTTCAGAGTGGGTGGGAGAGTGAGTGGGGAGAAGGCTGCTACTTTCAGACTGAAATCAATGTCCATTGCTATGCCTTTGAAGAAGTATTCAGCTTTGAAGAGCAACAAAAACACTTACAAGGAGCCAGACCATGCCCCTCCCTCTTCACTTCCCTGCAGCTTTTGGCTGTTCTGACTGCAGACCTACTTTTTGTAGAGAGAGGACCCTTGAAATTTGACTATTATGAGCCAAATCCGTCTTTCCTCTCCTGCCTGCTATGCTAACCCTTTGGAAGCTGGATGTGTATTGTAGCCTCCCTTAACATCTGCTTGGCTGGGGAATGCTAGTCAATGACAAGTTAAACTCTCTTCTGCTGAAGTCCCAAGCATGGTGGACTGGGTCTGAGATCCTGTCCACTCCCACCCCAGATGAAGTGTTGGCCCAAGGCAGTATTTCACTAGCAAAGGGGTTGTCTGCACCATCTTCCTCTTGTGCTTCTCCTTGAAGACAGTGTGTTGCTGGTGGCTTAGGAATCGTTCTGTAAACTGGAGGAAGTTTGAGGCTGGGGTGAGGAGGAAAGCTGGACATTGCATCTTTCTTTCCATTCTTTCTCCCCTTAGAGAGGCTTTAGCTGGGTGCTGGAAGAAGAAGCTGCTAAACACCTTTTGAGCTCTCAAGATCTAGCCACCTTAGAATGGAGACACTACCCAAACCCCCTGGCCATGACAATATGACTTTGCTCACATGAATGAGCAAATGCACATTCAGTACAGTCAGTACAGTTAGCAGTGACTTCAGGCCACTTCTGCAGCATTTCTGGGGCAGGCCTTGATAGAAAGCCTTTGGAGGGAGAGCCTTTGGTGTGCTTCTCTAACCTACATTCATACTGCCTTGCAGTCTAGGGACACAAGCTGATTAGTCCCTTTGCTGATAGGTGAGCTGGATCTTTGCTTTCTGGATGAAACTTTTGCAAATTGCCATTGTTTAGAAGAGAAATATAGCTCTAAAAAGGAGGGACATGAGAAACAATTCTGTGTGTCTCTAAACTAGACAAAGAGGTCTGGGGGAAAACAGCTCTTTTTATAGAACTGGAAGGAATTGCAGCAGGCCTGCATTTAGATCAGGAAAGACTTGTAAATCAGTCTGTCATTCCACGTTTGGGCCCAGATCTTCCACTGTAGGTTTTGGATAACCCGTACTGCCTTAGTAGGGGGTTGCTCCAATACCACAGTAGGAAATCAGGGCATTTCATTTTGGGCTGGAAGGGTTTCAAAGAGACATTCTTAAACCCTCTAAACTTGGAACTTAGCAGGTGGGAGATTTTTTCAAGCTCTTCTTATCAACTTCACTTTGCTGGGGGAGCAGTTGCATTGCTTCTAATTGGTTGGGACATACTTTTTCCACCAATCAGATTTTGCAAGGACCTGGGCCAGGAATTCCCAAAGAGCAGTCCAGAGGGATTAAGTCATTTTGGTGACAGCTAGGACAGACAAGAAGGCAGTGGAGTTACAGAGGAAGGGAAAGCTAGTGCTTGGGTGGTACCTATTGCAGTTTCTGAAGCATGTGGGCAACAGTGCTGAGCATTCAGCTTCCTGGATTTTTTGTTGAGCCCAGAGCCTGTATCAGTTCTGAAAAGAGTCTTGGAACATGTGGTAACAACTCCTGGTTTCTGTTTGAACGCTTACTGTAAAAGGGTCAGACAGGTTAACAACTTGACTCTGTTGAGGTAATAGTGACAGTGTGACTTACTGCTGCAGAGTCATAGAAGTGCTGAGTCACAGTGCTGAGCTCATCCAGAATTAATTTTGGCACTACATTTAAATCTTGAAAGGCTGTTTTGGATTTTGGGCAGCTCTACATGTCAAACAGACTGCAGTCCCAAAGCCAAAGTGGCAAGGGAGCAGAGAGAATAAAAGTTTACATCCCAGACTTTGCTGAGTTGAAGTTCTGAGTCTTAATTTTATTTGAACAGTGTTCCTCTAAGTTCATTTGTTACAAGGTCTGCATGGTTGCATATCAGCAGGAGTTTGTATGACCTTGGCTGCAGTTTTAATCAGTTCTCAGTTTGGTCATCCTCTGTCTTATACATATAGGTTACGGGGATTTTAAACGAGCCTCTGAAGGCTGCAGAACTTCCTAATATTTTAATTGCATCTTGTGGCCAGTACCTACAAGGATGCATTCTATTTTGCTAGTTTAGAGAATCTGAAGAAGCAAATACTGGCTGGCCAAACACAGAGACAACACCGCAGCAGATTGTCCTTGGTTGTCATAGTTCTGCTGCTTTATGCTGGTAATTTGTAATTTCTAAGCGCTGTTGAGTCTTCCAAGTGGTACCGTAGTTTGAACTCTGCTGTATAGAGCTGTTTAAGGTACATTTAGTGAGCAACAGCTGAAATGCATTTTAGGCACATGGTAAGAATAGTGTCTTGCCTTCAAGAAGAGGCTGTGTCTGGGTACTTCATCAGAACTGCAGGAGCGTGAGGATTCCTACCCCGCTTCCCGAGTTGTGCAAATTTTCTGATAGCTAAGAAGGAAAGTGAAGTTAACTGATCTAACTTGAACTTGAAACTGCCACAGCCTGACATTTGGTGGTGTTTATTGTGCACCCAGGGAGGAGCAATCTGGTAAGTAGATCTCCCAGTGTCAGAAGAAAGTGGCTTTTTCAAACTCCCCTTACCTCCCTTAAGATAAGTGTGTGTGCGTGTGTGAGTGTGCAAGAGTGCATGTAAGAAAGAGGTTTCAGCATGAACTGGATGGATCATCTCTCAGCCGGGTTGGAGTAATTGCAGAGTTTATAATGAACTAGGACATGCTTGCTGAAAGGAGATTAAAAAAGGCTGGAAGTGTCTGTGGGCTTTAAGTGTTGCACATCGCTTTGAAATGAAATGAGATACCTCTGCTGCGTAGAGATCGTCACTTCTCTCACAAACAGGAAGCTCACGCTAGCTTTCCTCCTTCGACTATGGGTTGGAAAATACTGGAGGTGTGGGGCATTCAGAGCAGGACAATCCATTATGGCCACACCATTTCCTGCTTATGACTCCTTTGCAATAGGGCACAGTATTGCTACAAATATTTCTCTTCCTCAGAGGAATACAGCTTGCTTTAAAATATGCAAATAGAAAATGGCATGAAAGAATTTGCATCAAGAAAACTTCTGCAGCTGTCTCCTCTGGAGCAGCTCCCTCTGCTCCCCGTTAATGTTCAGGAACAGACACATCCGCTGTTGGAACGGAAGGATTCAAGTGATAAAGTTGAGAAGTCTGATCATCAGAAACGTTGAAATGCTTTATACTTGTTTCTAAACTGGAAGCTGACTTGGACCACCATGCCCTACCTACCCGCCTCCTGCTCCAAAGGATCCTTTTTTCTTTTTCTTACTTTTTTTTGAACACTGAAAAAGCTGGAGAGTTTCATGTGCATTTCTCTGCTCCCAGGTACGTGTTTCCTGCCACTGCCACATGTTCCTTTCTCAGTCTGAGCAGAGCTCCAGGCTTGGTTCTGAGAATTTTCTCGGCATCCCAGCTCAAACGGGAAGCACATCTCCAGGCTGAGCTCTTTGCCTAACTTTATTAGCTTCCTTTAACACCATTTTAGATCTGCCTTTTGTGGCTGATGATTCCCAAATTCACTTGAGGGAGGCATATTTGTGTTTGATAAATCACAGATGATAGCAGCTTTTCCTAGCTAGAGAAGTGGACAAGAAGGAACAGCCAGCCTTCCTACTGCAGGTACGCTCTTAATTGTGGGAGGAAAAAGAGTAGACACCCCAAAAGTTTGAAAGCTAGGACAGGTTGTGGGGATGGAGATGGATCTCCACAGAAGTGGGGACAATGCTCTTAGCCAGTGTAGTTGACTCGGAAGAATAGAGGTTTTCTATGAGCACAACACAAGTCATGAGAAGGTAGTCAAGTAAGGCCTCCAGCTGTTGAACTTGCCAGTTGATGCCCCTCTTAGGTTATGCTGGGGAAAAAAGGGATGGTCTAAACTACACTTGCCAAGAGAAGGATGAACTTTGCCAGGGTCTCCAAGTGGCATGCATGATGCATCTGACATGCTGAGCCTTGCCCTGCTGTTGTTCCCCCTGAAGCAATAAGCAGCAGCTTCCCAAAAGGAGGGGGGAAGAGCAAGTGACCCAGCTGTCCCCAAAGGAGGTCTCCATATGAAATCCCTCCATCCTTCTGTTGGCAAATCCCTGCTGGATTGATTGGCATGAGGGATGCACAGTCTTTTTGTCCCCACTTTTAATTCAGATACTCACAGATGCAGCAGGTCCCTTAAGTGGGTTCCTTCTCCACAGCCCTAGCAGTGGGTTGAGAGGAATGGCTGCCTGCTGGGGCTGAGCATTTGCCTTCCCCTCCTATCCCCCTCGCCCCATTTTCTTTTTAAATGAGGTATAGCCAAACTACTGGCAAATTCCTGAAGTGTCTCTGCCAGGGTGAGCCTTAGCATGCTGCCAGGGTAAGTCATCCTCTGGCTTGTCAGAAAACTCTTATGACTTTGTGCTTGTTTCCAGAGACCACTGTGTTTCCACATTTGTTGTCCAACAGATACTGCATGGGAGTTAGCAACACTGGTGAATC